TATTGAAAGTAATCCAATAGGTCTATATGCCTTGGGGTGGGTATAGTCGCTTTTACTGGGTTTTTTGAGAACTATTACAATGGCTGCCTTCCATGGTGTTGGGTAATGAGTGAGCTGCAAACATTTGTTGACAATTGACAAAAAAAGTTCTTCATTTTGGGACGCCTCATAAATATTATTAATAAATAATAATTAAATTCACTATACAGACATTTAAAAATGTCATAGAAATTATAATTTAAACAATAAAATGCAAATAATAAGCATAAAGTTCAAAAAATATCCATTTGGAATATTGAATATTATAATATTAGTAAACGCATAAAATGTCTCTAAAAATCTCTAAATTTATTAAAAACCTGCTTAAAATGTTCAAAATGTATCAAATCATATAAATACAAGGCGATTATATCGCAATAACAAAGATAAATAACATTTGTAATATAATAGAAAAAATGGATCAAAAAAGTTGATGAACGTGTTCTTGTAATGTTCCCTTCCCTTATATTGGGGCGTTGCCGGAGACACATACCCAAGGTTGTACATATATATGGAGTGGTCGGCTGACCGACTGCTAGTACTAAGGTTACACAATGACTAGTCCTATATTAGGGACTTATCATAGTAAGGTCTAACGAACCAAAGCATTAATATAGAAGGTCTCTATGATGCATAAGCATTATGATAGCAGAACAATGACTTGAAGTCCCATATGAATAAGACATACAATAGTATGGTCTATGAAATAAAGCAAATATGTGGAAGGTCTCAAATATGTAAAAGTATTATATTGAAAGAAATGGCGTGTAGGTTGCTTCGCAGCCTCTGAGACCGAGGTAAACTTGGACTCACTAACCGATGTGTCCTAGATATATCATCTTATTGCCGGTGGTAAGCGGGTTTGTTGTAGCAATACGACTTGCCCGTGGACATCGCACACCCCTACCGTTTGTGGGCGACGTCTTAGCGCATAGCGTTATAATACGTCGGCTATCTTTCGCAATAGGGTGAGTGTGTTTGGTAGTACTTTTAAGTGCAGCAAGCATACTCAACTTCATGTTTTAGTACAATAGCGCTATGATGACGTGGAGTTTTGGATACTGACGTCTTAGTACCGTGCTACTATGATACGTTGGTGGTATTTGTAGTTAACAACATTATCAATTTTGTTACCAAAGTCGATAGGGATCATGTGGGTGTGTTGTGAGGGGGCGCCATCCGTATGATAGTTGCATTGATGCTTATTGCTACTTGCAGTATTGTGACTTGTGATGGATCTGCGGGTGTGCTGCACCTGATTCGACACATCTTGTGGTTTTGGTCGATGGAGGTATGCGGGTGGTGATGTCTGCTGGGACTGTATGGGGGACCTTGGGCTGGTGTAAGCCCGACGATAGTCGTATTGATGCTTGTTGCATTCTGCAGCATTGCGTCTCTACGATGGTTGTTTGGCGGGTCGCTATTCTCAATGGCGCTCCCTGTGTCTTGGTTTGACTCACAACCTAAGTAGCTTTGCCCAAGTCGTGTCCCTTCATTGCGGGGCTGCAGACTGTCTGCCCTCCATGATGTTTTATATAACAACTTAATAATATATCTCTATAAAGTTCCCACCGTTGAAAGATTGAAGGCAACTTGTTGGTGGGTGAGACAAACATGATCGAAAAATGCATATACTCAACGACAGTGACACAAACCGTTTCTGATGGGGAATTATTACTAATATCTCATAACTGCCTATTGGCTATATCTGCCATTGTATTGGTTGGTGGAGCATATGTGTCGACCTCATGCGGGTGGTAGCTAGAGGGAAATGCAATTGGTGGTGATGCCTTACACTTACATCACGTCTGCAGGAACGGCGGTCTTGCAGGTGGTGGCGCTCACGGAAGGCTTTTTATGGTCAGTGTGCCTATTGTTGCCTAACCCGTGTGACGTACATTCACTGTGGCTGGATTTGATCGTATTCTGTATGGCGTTTACACGCATTGACATGCGCGACTTCGGTCGATATTTGTGCTTACACACTATCAAGGGGCCAAGTCCTCTTTTACTGATTCGCCAGTTATTTTGCTGTGGACTACGGTCCAGTTCCCAACTTAGCGTAACCTTCGGGGGAAGCGCATTAAAATGGTTGGCGCTCACCGTGCGCGGCGTGTGCGGAGCCGTGTACCTCCTCCACATTTTTTTTAAAATGTGGGAGAGCGAAGCACTTGTAGCTGGTATTTGATATAAATATTGTGAGCCTTTTCCAAGCGGGAAGGGATTAATTAATAAGGAATTGACTGTTGTGAACCAGATACAAGTGGAATAGGGACAATTTATTATTCTTAACCTTTTTGAGCTCTGTCTTCGTGATCGGGGTTCTTTAGCTTATAAGACTCTACCAACAGCTTTCGATTGCTCTCGTGAATATTCATTCGTCCAAGATACACCTAAAAGAACTAAGTTACTATACAAACACAAGGTAAAAAAGGGTCCTAACTAAGACGATCACGCCATAAATTTATTAAACGGCCTATATTTAAACCTTTAGAAAGATCAAGATATACTGGTCACTTAAATTAGATAAATTTATATATCTTACAGATATAGATTCTAAAGAAATACAAGTATAAGTGGATATATAGAAAAAAAAGAGGGGGGTTCGTTATAATTTGTTCCTATTGCCGCAGTACAGATATCCATTGTAAAACCATCAGGTCCAGTTCCTTCTTCATGCTAAAACTTCCCATAACGTTTCTTAGTTCAGCTTCAGTAAATGGTGGATCCTGGGTGTCATTTGGTAGGTATTGGTTTATCCCAGAAACTTTCCCTATCCTGATTTGTACAGTACTTCCTTCCAACTATTTGTTTGTGCACTTATTGCCTCTTTTTCATATTTCATTTTTGCTTCCAGGTATTTCTGTACTACGTGTTCTCTTCTGTGCCATGCAGAGCATCGGATCCTTCTACGTTTCGTTATCATCGCCTTCTTCAGTTCTTCCAGTTCTCTACTCCACCATGGTAAGCATGTTTTTTCTTTTATTTTTAGTTTAGGAATACTTTTTTCACTTGCTTTATTTATACCCTCAATATATGTGGTTATAATGCTTTCCAAAGCCTCCTTTGATACAATTTTTCCGATTTGAACTGCCTCAATTCTATTTTCTTCTAGATAATTTTTAAATATTATTTTAAAATATGTCCAATTAGCTTTTTTAGTGTTATAAGTTCTAGTTGTCAAAGTTCTTCTTTTTTCTTGCGGTTTGTCTGATTTGATCTGAACTTATTAAATCCTTATCTACCCTCCAATCTTGAATATGCTTAAGTAAGCTTTCATTACATACTGTTATGTCTACATGTTCGCGCCAAACGCTGTCAAGAATCGACGCCAGATGTCACTCGGCTTGGCGCGATACCGGTTTGAAGTTCGGCCGAGCGTGGCAAGAGCGCGCGGGTCGCGAGCGAAAAGGCGGAGTCGTCTGCTAGCTGTGCTAATGTCTGCACGCTGTCAATTTTGTTAGGGAACTCGGAATAATTAGGCGCGGCCCGTGGGTGTGCGGTCTGGGATTTGTGACGCGTATTCCTAGCTGGAGAGCTTCCCAGGGACTTATTGGGTCCGACTCAGAATCTGTATAAGTGCATTCGACGATATTAGCTAGTGCGGCCTTTGATATTCTAGAACTAACTGTTGCTACGCGAAACGGTAGTGACCTTTGATCCGTAAACTCCGTGTGCGTTTTGTGCGTTAACCTAATACCCAGCGATAGTTAGTGGCTTCTGTAAGTTAGTTAATCGTACGATAGAGTTAATTGACTGTCATCGTGACGAAAGAGGAAAGTGATTGTGGTCCGGCGCCGAAGCAGTCTGAAGCGGTGCAGCATTTTGGAGCAGCCTGGAACTCGGCCGCGGCTGGTCACCTATGCTTGACAAGGCCCCACACATTCACACCTCACTGTACACTACTCGCCATCTACTATTACACACACTCACGGCCTGCCCAAGCCTTGGTGCGAAGTTAGCTTCGGATAATGGTAAGTACTATGTGTTTCTAGCGTCCTCCCATATTGTTTAGTGTAATTAGAGAAATTCCACGTGGCCATATTCTGGCCCCGTCCCTCTGCTGCTCGTCGATGGGATTACTCATGGGCCCTAATCCCGTCAGCCTTGGTTGGGGCAGCTAGGGGCGTGTACACTACATGACTTGTGTATGTTTTGCCCCCTCTAATTGTATCAAAGGTAGGCTCTGTTCCTTCATTTAATATATGTAATCCCATTTCATCCAATGCCTCCTGTAATGCCACCCCTCGATGATCTATTGAAATGCTTCCCAACCACGTATTCCACGCGTTAACATCTCCTCCAATTAATATATATTTAGCTGTTAGATTGTTGACTATTTTTTCAATTTGTTTAAGATATGGTTCTATAGGTAAATGATCTTCAAAGTATATTGATATTGCCCCTATTGTCCACTTATCAGTTTGTAAAATGGCAACTACAATGTTTTCCGCAACCAAAGTGGGGGTCTTCTATTATTTTAATATTCGAATCGAAAACAAATATAGCTGCTTTGTTCGGCTTTTCTTTTCTTCGGCATTGTACTATTCTACTACCTGGCGGTTGCTGTACTTCTCCTGTAGCAGCTGTGTAAGGTTCTTGTACTAAGGCTATGTGGATGTTTTTTTTACTAAGTGCTTCAATAAATATCTCTTGTGTAGCTAGCTTTTTTCGTTGTAGGTTTATTTGTATAAATTTATATTTCCGCTTACTAGGATTTCCGTGCAGGGATTGCGTCAATTTGGAGTTAACTTCCTCGTCTTAACAGTTGGCCACGCTAGATCTTGCAATTGCGTCCCATTTTTTACATATAGGACATCTGTCATCGAAGCTGTTATGGTCGGTTTTTTCGTTTTTGGCCAGGTGACAGTTTCGGCACGTGGGTACATCTCCTGAAAGCCATCCTGGGCTCCGCTCTTAAATGCGGTCCAGAACAGTGGCTACACAGTGCAAAAGACTCCTTACACAGTTTGCTTCCGTGACCGTATGCAAGATATTTTGAACACTGCACCAGCGGTGATTGATCCTGAACTCGTACCCTTTGTAGATCGATTTGAATACGGCCTATTTTTGTCATGCGTTGCCAAACTTTAGGAAAGATCTGTAGGACTATGTGATTCTCATATGGGTTTCGTGCTTTTTTCCTGTACCTAACAGATATGCGAAGTTCTTCTGGCTCTAAGTTTTCGATGACATGTTTGTTTTGATTTTCGATTTCTTTAATGACATCCTCGTCTGAATTATACGTCAATACGTCTTTTAATATTATAAGCTGATCTTTGTTCTTCGTTTCTGTTTGTTCTGTGTTTGTTCTGAATTTTCAATTTTTTCTCTTAACTTTTTAAGATCTTCTTTTGACTCACAGCTTAAGATTACTTTCTGTTCTTTCGCTTTCCTTACTCTGTCTACACGGATACCGAAAGATTTTGCGTCCACTGCCTCCCTTATTTTGTTAATGACTACTTGGCTGGTGTCATTATCACTTTTTGATGAAACAATGATTGAGTGCATTGACGCATAAGTCGTTGTTTGAGACCGACGGGCCACAATTTCGGCATATGTATAATTGCCATTATCTTTTTTCACGTTTAAATCATTTTGGATGTGTTCCATTTGATGTCCTATTTTTTTCAGCTCGATGTTAGATTCATCAATAGCCAGTCCATTATTTATTAATTGCGCTAAAATTTCACTAGTCGCTTATCCATCATTTATACCTATTTGCATTCCGATAATTTTATTAGCAACGTCCTGTGTCAAAATTTGCCTAATGGATGCTAACTCTTTTAAAATGTCCCTGGCCGTTCCCTTTGCATCTGCTCCACTGGACGTTTCCAAAAGACCCTCCAACTTATCAAAGTGCTCTTTTTCCTTTCTTAGCAGTTCCTCCTTTGCACTTAGTTTAGCTTTTTCAAGCTGGAGTTGCAACGTCTGGCGGGATTCACTCATGCGCAATATTATCTCATACATACCAGTTATTCCGAATAAAACCTTTTCTTTAATAGATGTTTTAAGGTTTCCTGACTGTTCTAGTTGCGCTTTTGTATCTTGCAAAAGCTTGTTTCTTGCAGCCGTTAAAGTCGCTAAAGGCATTGTCGAAGAGTTAACTGAAGTATCATGTGTTCCGCTTATCTTCGCTTGCTGATGTGCTTTGTAACAGCGCTCGCTTACGCATATCAACAGTTCCAGCTGAGAGTCTATGGGCCATTCTATTTTAATAATGCAAACGTCATCAAATATAAATATACCTAATATTTAAATCTACCAAGGCAAGGAATTTATAGTTAATATTTTAAAATAATATAAAAATAAATAATACTAAAGACTCTCAATGAAACAGCCACTGCGTTCTTTGGCAATATTTCGTAATCAATACTCAGAAAAAAAAGAATTTAAAAAGAGAAATTTGTATTTTCTCAAATACAGTATACGAATTCTACCTTAGTAGTAAAAACAGGGTGGGTGGGAGGTCGAAATTTTGCTATTTTCTACGTTTATTGTTGCAGATTTTGGCTGATACGGCGGTTTTGGAGCAAGGTGGACCAGATAGGAGCAAAAGCGGAAGATATTTGTAAGATTTTAATATAGACAAAAAATTTTGATATATTACGTTTCTCAAAAACAATAATTTTTTAATTTAAATTAGAAATATCGCCCGAAATGGCTTGAAAACACTGTAAACTAATAAAACTAGACTAATTAAATATTTCAGGGCAACCAGGGAGTTTTTACAATGTTTTAATGCAAAGTTATAAAGTGGTTAGATTAGGTTTTTTTTTTTCTAGTTCCCTTGATATGTGGAGGTCAGGGACTTTTTTCATCTTTCAGGTGCGTCTTTTTTCACCTTTATTTTCTTTCTTTCTTTTTTTTATTATTTTTGGATTTTTATGCTTACATTCATTATTTCTATTCTTAATTATGTTCTTATTTCTATATATTTATATATAGAAATAAGAACATATATAGAAAAGTAATATTGGGATGCCGAACGGAAAAGGAGATAAATAGAGTAAAGGAGAGATTAAAGCAGGCAGGGAAAGATCTAAATGTGAATGACATAAAAAACAAGGATCCACTTGTAATCATGAGAGATGTCATGCAATACAATACGGACGAAGAGATAATAAAAGCCATAAGAACGCAAAACAAACAGCTCTTCAAGGACACACAAGAAAAAGAGGATAGAATGGATATCAAATACCGGAAAAGAACAAGAAACCCGCATACGTCCCACATTGTGATGAGAGTTTCGCCTCAGATTTGGACCCGTCTTACTGAGGCTGAGGTCATTCATATTGACTTACAGCGAGTAAGAGTAATGGATCAGTCCCCCTTAGTTCAATGCTCGCGTTGCCTAGGATATGGACATAGTAAACGCATATGTACGGAATCAACTGATGTTTGTAGCCATTGCGGAGGCCCACACCTCAAAACAGAATGTGCTGATTGGCTGTCTGGAGAAACACCAGAATGCAGAAATTGCAACAAAGCGAACCATGATAGAAAAGATCATAACGTATTCAGTCCAGACTGTCCGGTAAGAAGAAAATGGGAAGTACTCGCCAGGTCTACCATAGCATACTGCTAAAGTTGACTCAAACTCGACCATGGAACCTAACATCTGTACCCACCGATATCACGCGATCCAGACAAATCTTCAAAGGTGCGAACTAGCCACGGCCGAATTTATAACAGAGGCAACCAAGCGAGAGATATCTTTTGCTCTGGTTCAAGAGCCCTATATCGGTCGAATTGGTCAAATGAAGAATTACTCGGGGACGAGAATAGCACAAAGCTACAGAAGCCAGAACACTGAAAAAGTGATTAAGGCAGCTATTGTGCTATTCAATGACACCATTGATATGACCCAATGCCCCGGCCTAACAACAGAGAATATTGCAGGCGCTAAGCTGAGCACCGGGGCATGGGACTTGGGGGTGGTGTCTGTCTACCTAGAGGGCGATACACCAATCGACCCTTATCTAGAAATGATCGATGCGGCCGTGGTGGGTCTACGGACAAGACACGTGATACTAGATGTAAATGCATGGAACACCTGGTGGGGAAGCCGGAAAACAGACAGCAGAGGAATAGAGGTCGCCGCAAAACTTGATCAACTAGAATTCCATATTCTGAACAGGGGGACTGAGCTCACTTTTGATACATATAGAGGTGGGAAGAGGTTCTCCAGCTGCGTGGACATAACTAACTGCTCGACTAGCCTACTCGGAAGGATGAACAACTGGAGACTATCCGACGAAATAACCAGTTCGGACCACAGGGCGGATTGCCCTGTGGTCCGAACTGGTTTTTTTTGACATCAAGTTAGGAAAATCAACAGGCACAAATATAAAAAGAATAACTAGAATATATAACACGAAGAAGGCGAATTGGGGCGAGTTTCGTGAGAAACTCGTCCAGATTTGGAGGGAAAAAAGGATAAATAAAGAAGAAATAAATAAAATAGTAACAACGGATGAACTAGAAACAAAAATAGAACAATACACAAATTCAGTAATAGAAGCATGCGAAAGTAGGATTCCAAAACTAAAAACCAAAAAACAAATGGGACTGCCCTGGTGGACCCACGAGCTGACACTACGTAAAATGGAGGTCTCCAGGTTGAAGCTTAGGTTAGGTTAGGATCCCCCCCGAACGGGTTCCCGCCTTGTAGTGTAGGGGGCTTAGTAGCCGTGGCTTGGTCAACTGCGGTGAACGAAGAGGAACCCCTTGGCTGGCCCGAGGTGTAGGGCCGGCCCGAGGTGGCCACTCCGAGCGGGCTTGACGAGCCCGCTTCGGATGTGTGTTGGTGGGCTGCGGATAGAGGGGTGTCCGCTCTCTCTATCGCTGCAGCCGAGGTGGAGTCGCGGAGGAAGAGGAGTGCTGGTATGGCGATGCGCCACTCGCCCTGTCCTCCGCGACTCTGACGGGGCCGCACCGTTAATGATGCGGTGGTGGTGGGGCTGCGGGGGGAGAGGAGTGTCGGTATTGCGAGGCGCCGCTCTCCCTACCCTCCGCAGCCGAATCTTGGTTGGTGGCGGAGCCATGGACCGGATCCGCCGCTGGGGTCGGGAAGGCTGGTGCTTCTGAGTGCTAGTTTTTCCTGGCCCCATGACCTTCGCGCATCGGACTCGGGGGCGTCTGTTGCGCATTGGAAATTGGAGGCCGAGGAGGAGGGCGCGCCATGTGTTCTGGTGCGCCTTACCTGAGAAGGAGATGGGGGAGGAGTAGTCCTCTCCCGAGGAGGGGCCGCCATGGAGTGGCCAGCGCAGGTGGGGCCGCGGAAGTGTGCGAAAGCGTTCCCGTGGCCCTGCCAATATGCGACGAGGGTGGAACACCATGGAGTTTTAGTCGGTGCGAGTCCGACATAACCCGTCCTTGCCCCCGCGAGGCGGGTATGCATAGGCATTTCCCCATGTAAAAAAAAGGTTAGGTTAGGTTAGGTTAGGTTCCCCCCCGAACGGGTTCCCGCCTTGTCGTGGCGGGGGGGGCTTAGTAGCCGTGGCTTGGTCAACCGCGGTGAACGAAGAGGAACCCCTTGGCTGGCCCGAGGTGTAGGGCCGGCCCGAGGTGGCCACTCCGAGTGGGCTGGGGAAGCCCACTTCGGATGTGTGTTGGTGGGCTGCGGTGAGAGGGGAGTCCGCACCCTCTACCGCTGCAGCGAGGTGGAGTCGCGGAGGAAGAGGAGTGTTGGTATGGCGATGCGCCACTCGCCCTATCCTCCGCGACTCAGACGGGGCCGCACCGTTAATTGATGCGGTGGTGGTGGGGCTGCGGGGGGAGAGAAGTGTCGGTATTGCGAGGCGCCGCTCTCCCTACCCTCCGCAGCCGAATCTTGGTTGGCGGCGGAGCGATAGACCAGATCCGCCGCTGGGGTCGGGAAAGCGGGCGCTAATAAGCGCTCGATTTTCCTGGCCCCATGGCCTCCGCGTATCGGACTCGGGGGGGTCCGATACGCAGGTGGAGTTGGAGGCTGTGGAGGGGGGTAGCTGAACACCTCGCTACCCCGTACAGGAGACGAGGCCCGGACAGATCGGGCCAGCACTAGTGTGGGGCTGCGGAAGAATTTGGATTCCCGCGGCCCCGCGCGCACGTGCGAGGAGGCACCGTGGGGTTTTAGCCGGTAGGAGTCCGGCATAACCTTCCAGTTGCCCCCGCAGCCGGAGGTATCCAAAAAAAAAAAAAAGGTTCCCGTGTGGAGTTGCCAGAGCTCCCATCGGGCGCGTCCCCAGGTGGTGGATAGGGGAACGCCACTCAGATATGGTTGGTAGCGGGAAACCGTCGCGGACCAAAACTGGCTGGATGAAACCTTGTTTGCATAGTGGAGGGCCTATTAGTTGCTTCCTGTATCCTCTCCCTTGAGAGGAACAGAGAATGTGACATGCACGGTGAGGTGCCAGGTGCACTCGGCTTTTGCCGACGCCGGGCAACCCGTAACCGCGGGATTTTCAGGGACCACACCCTGTAAAAAAGGAAACTGAATGGGCTCAGTGTTCCCTAACCCGGTCTCTGGGCAGGCATGGGAAGAACCCGTATCGACTCTGCCACCATTCGAACCTCGGAATCCCTATGGCGTGTCGTGGATCACGTCACGCGGCGTCTAAGGGGCCGAGGGCTCTTGGCTTAACCACCTGGAGTCGCGAGGATGATAACCTCTTTAAAAAATCACCCGAAGCTCAAGCGTGGCACGTCGTGAGGAGCTGCATCGCTGATGGGTAAATGTGTTCAGTCGTTAGCGTTGCCCCCGTCGGGGTACTGGCTGACACCCTTGACGGGTTACGCATAGGCTTATCCGGGCAAAGGAGGCGCTGCTCGGATGGACTGTTATTTCCTCCACACTCGTGGGATAAAAAATGGACAAAGAAAAATATTAAAAAAAAACAGTAGAGGTAGAAAACCCGATACCGGAGGCGGCGTCGACGGGATTCCGCCGAGGAGGACACGCTGTATGAGGTGTACCGCGCGTCTAAGGAGACTCTGTGGCTGGCCATCGGCGACTCAAAGTCGCGTGCCAGGGAGGAGCTGCTGGGGTCCCTAGATCGGGATCCGTGGGGGCGCCCCTACCGTTGGATACGGGGCAAGTTGCGTCCATGGACGCCTCCACTAACACAAAGGATGCAACCCCAGTTGCTAGAGGCGGTGTTAGCGACTCTCTTCCCTGAGCGAGTGGGACACGTTCCCCCGGCGATGGCTTCGCCCTCAGCCACAGACTCTCCAGAAGAGGAGAGCACCGATGTCCCCGAGGTGACGCAAGCAGAGACGAGAGTGGCCGTGTCGCGACTCCGGGCTAAGAACACAGCGCCCGGACCCGACGGAGTTCCTGGTCGAGCTCTCGTCCTGGCTCTGAAGGAGCTAGAGCCCCAGCTGAGAGGGCTCTTCACGGCATGTCTCGAGCAGGGTCAGTTTCCCAGTGTGTGGAAGGAGGGGAGGCTGGTCCTGCTCAGGAAGGAGGGGCGCCCCGCGGACTCACCGTCCGCGTACCGGCCCATAGTGCTGCTCGACGAGGAGGGCAAACTTTTTGAGCGTATCATCGCAGAGCGCCTCGTCAGCCACTTGTGCAGAGAGGGGCCGGACCTGGATGACAACCAGTTTGGTTTTCGTCGCGGGCGCTCCACCATAGACGCTATTACGCGCGTGAGGGCCCTGGCGGAGGAGATAGTATCCCGGGGTGGGGTGGTGCTGGCGGTGTCCTTAGACATCTCCAACGCCTTCAACACCCTACCCTGGAGTTGCATTCGGGAGGCGCTGAATTACCATCGCGTGCCTCCCTACCTCCGCCGCACAATAGAGGCTGGTCGGCGCGTCATGACGTGCGGTGTTCCGCAGGGATCGGTCTTGGGACCGCTCCTGTGGAACATCGGCTACGACTGGGTGCTGAGAGGTAAACTCCCGTCGGGCGCCGACTTGACGTGTTATGCGGACGACACGCTCGTCACTGCCCGGGGGAGTTCGCACAGGGAAGCAGCGTTGGTTGCCACGGCTGCGGTGTCATAAGTGGTGAACCGCATCCGGCGCCTGGGCCTGGAGGTGGCCCTAAGTAAGTCGGAGGCCATGGTGTTCCAAGGCCCTCGACGCGCGCCGCCGCCGGGTTTACACATCGTGGTCAGCGGGGCCCGCATAGCTGTCGAGTCCACCATGAAGTATCTGGGATTGGTGCTCGACAGCCGATGGGAATTCGGACCCCACTTCCGGCGGCTGGCGCCCAAGCTGATGGGTGCAGCGGGCGCGCTATCAACGTTGCTTCCCAACTTGGGGGGCCCGAGCGCCGCCTGTAGGCGGTTGTACGTGGGAATCGTGCGGTCCATGGCCCTCTATGGGGCCCCTGTGTGGGCGATGGACATGACGGCCAGCACTCTCGCCATTCTGCGTAAACCGCAGAGAGCGATGGCCGGCAGAGTCGTCCGCGGGTATCGCACGATTTCCTACGAGGCGGCTTGCGTCCTGGCCGGATCTCCGCCCTGGCGGAGGCGGAGGTAGTCCATGAGGATTTCCCCCCGTAAAAAAAAAAAAAAAGGTAACAGGTTAGGTTAGGTTAGGTTCGTCCTGGCCGGATCCCCGCCCTGGGACCTAGAGGCGAAAGTACTCGCATCATTATATCGATGGTGCGAGGAAGAGCGGGCACGGGGCTCGAGGCCGGTGCAGCGGCAGATCGCGCTGCACCGAGAGGAGCTCCGTCAGGTCTTGGTGGCGGAATGGCGGCAAAGGCTTCTGCGCCCTACCGCCGGCCTCGCTACCGTCGAGGCGATCCGGCCAGTACTCGACGACTGGCTCGGGAGAAGGCACGGCTCCCTGTCGTTTAGGGTGACGCAAGTGTTGTCGGGGCATGGCTGCTTCGGCAAGTACCTGCGCCGCATAGACAGGGAGCCGGACGCTCGGTGCCACCATTGCGTCCATTGCTGGGAGGACACGGCGCAACACACGCTCGCCGAGTGTGTAGCTTGGGAGGAGCAGCGCCGTGTCCTCACAAATAAAGTAGGAGGCGATCTGTCGCTGCCGGCCTTAGTGCGGAAGATGATCGGTAGCGCAGAGTCGTGGGATGCGGTGGTGTCCTTCTGCGAGGACATGATGTCGCAGAAGGAAACTGCGGAACGGGAAAGGGAGATCTCGACTCACTTCCCTGGCCGCAGAAGGCGCACCGGGCGCAGGAGAAGGGCGGACAACGCCCTTTTCCGGCCCCCATAAATGGGTCCAGGGTCGAGGGACTTGGGGAAGCCCCCCGCTACCCCTACTCGATGGACCCGAGGCGGAGGCGCGCGCGGGTGTCGGCGCGCACTCCTGAGGTGATACACGGGGTAGTTTAACACCTCACTACCCCGTGCAGGAGACGAGGCCTGGACAGACCGGGCCAGCACCAGTGTGGGGCAAGATGGACTCCACGAATGCCATGAATTTGTGCCTTTTGTCATCTTCTTCGATTATTTTATGTAGGTCAGATTTATTAAGATTGGCGTTTATCCGGAACTCAAGGTCCAGACGTGCCGCTTGATAGCGGGGACACTCAAGAATCACATGCCACACTGACTCACTAACATTCGGGTCGCACTCGCACCCTGGAGTGTCTTTTAATTTATAGCGGTGCAAGTATTCCGCAACTCCACCATGTCCTGTTAACACTTGTACCTGTGTGGGTGTCAACTTGGTTTTCCTCACTATCCGGTATGCTTTTGCTATATCCGGAAGGAATGTTTTGGTGACATGCCCAGTGGTGGAGGTCTCGTATCTGTCCTGCCAGATCCGAACAGTTTCCTCTCTGATTTTCTTTTTAACATAGGACACGGGAATTTTGTCATAGTCTAGAGTGGCTGTTTCCCGGAATGCCGCCGCCTTGGCAAGCTCGTCGGCTCTCTCATTTCCGGACCCGGCCCTCAACCAGAATAGTCTTATTTTTCTTCCCTCTTTTCTCATCTTCCCTATGCTTTCTTGTATGGCTTTCGATGGGGGATGGCTTGCTTTAGGGTTCGCTAGCAGATCGAGCGAAGATCTTGAGTTGCTCATTATGTTAATAACTGGTTCTGTCCTTGATTCTGCTAGCTTGGTTGCCCTGAGCAAGGCGTAGAGCTCGGACTGGAACACTGTGCAGGATGGGTCCAGTCTAAAGGTGGAACTACTGGTCTCCCTGACATCTTCCCAACATGTTAAGGCTGCTCCGACCCTCCCTTCTATCTTGCTTCCATCAGTGTATATGTGAGGGCCGGTTAGTTGGTGGAGATTTGTTTTTTTTACCGTTTCCAGTAACTCATAATCCAATTTGATGAGTTTAGAGGGATGAGGTTGGTCCAAGTGATTTACACGGTTTTCAAGCTCTCTTCCTGGTGGTAAGTAGTCTAGTGAGTCTTGTTTCTTGGTCTTGTACAGGCTAGACGCCTCTTGTATTCTCAGGTCTAGCGGAAGCTGATCCGAGATGGCGAGTGCGGAAGTGAGCGACACTGTGCGGTACGCTTTACAGATCTTCTACGCGAAGCCCTTTTGCAACGTGTTAAGTTGGTCTTTAATCATCTGTAGTTCTGTTGCTGAAGACCACGCGCTCGAAGCGTACATCACTATAGGTTCGACGACTGCAACGTATATTGTCCTTACAATCTCACCATTGAGACCCCAGGTCACCTTGGCCGCGCATGCAAGCTGCTTGTATATGTCAGCCGCTTTTTTGCATGCGGCTGCTACATGCGGTTTAAAGGTGAGTCCACGGTCAATGGTGAGACCAAGTACTCTAATTGCCTCTACGAGGTTCACTCTGCTGCCAGACATATGCAGGTTAGGGTAGTCGAATTTAAGTTTCTTCGTTATGAGCATTGCATTTGTTTTGTGCGCTGCAAACTTTAACTTGTTCTTGGTTCCCCATTTCGTTACCCTCTTTAAAGTGTCGTTGGCTTGTTGCTCCACGGCACTCGTTGAGTGTCCCGAGAACACCAAGACAACGTCATCCGCAAATGCCTGACAGTATACTCCTTCGTACGTGAGTTGGTGCAGCAGTGAGTCTAGGATAACATTCCAAAAGGTTGGTCCGCCAATAGATCCTTGAATACAGCCCTCTGTAATTCCCTTCTCACTGGTTGCTCTGGCGTAGTTGGCTGTGATTTTTCTGTCTTGAAGGTAAGAGCCAACCATATCGTAGAGGTTTTTGGGACATTTCTTCTTGGTTAGTTGCAGTTTCAATGCTGGCCACCAAGCGTTGTCGAAGGCTCCCTCTATATCTAGTGAAATAACGAGGACGATCTTTTTATTCCTCACTTCGTTTTTAATATGTTCCAATAGATGATAGAGGGCGTCCTCAGTACCACGTTGAGGCATGAAGCCATACTGGTTTTTATTTAGAGTTGGAAGGACATGCCACTGGATTCGGCCCACCATCAATTTCTCGACTATTTTTCCGAGTACTGACAGGAGACTTATGGGTCGGTATGACTTTGTATGAGTGTAGTCATCCTTCCCTGGCTTACGAATGATGACCACGTGTGCAGTTTTCCACTGCTTGGGAAAGTATGCCATTTTCTAGGACATGTTGTCTATCGCTAGGAATACCTTCCTGTTGCAGTGAATTGCGGCGGAGCAGATGTCAGATGTTAGCCCATCTGGTCCAGGAGCTTTTTTTGGGTTAAGTGTTTGTAACACTGAATCAAGCTCCGCTTCTGTAAAAGGTGGATCATCTTCTGACAAACCTAGGTCTTTGTTGAAGTCCGTCAGCACTCGTACTTTGGTGTGGTACGGGTGATCGGTTACCACACAGTCGTCAGGGTAAAATGTTTGGACCAAGAGTTCTGCTGACTTTTCAGATGTCAGGGTTTCACCCTGGTTGTTTCTTAGGAGCATGCCCTCATATCTTCTTGAGGATTTTCGGATAACTCTGTAAATTTTATCCCACATGCTCTCCTTGTCCTGTGTCGTGCAGAATTCTTTCCAGCTTTCGGTTTACGCCTCCTCAACTTTTATGGTGTACTGTTTTTTACAGTTTATGTAGTCATCTATAACGTGTTGTATTCGACTTGGTGCCGCATTTCTTATGCGTCTTTTTGTCCTTTGGACTTCTCTTTTGAGTTGGTTGAGGGTTTTTAACCACCATGGAGACGTTGCATTTACCCTCCTCATGCCTACTTTCGGAATAGTCTCGTCGCAAGATTCCTGGATTACTTTTGTGTAGGCTATTGTGATGGATTCTAGTTCCTCATGGGTTTCCACCCCCTCGATTAATGTGGGAGTTATGGCTCTTTCTTCTAGTAGTGATCTGAAGTGTGATGAGAAGTCTGACCATTTTGCCTTCCTGGTGTTGTATTTGCGCGTTGTGCAGGGCCGTAGTGGTTTTAAGGCCGTTTTAGTGCGCAATGTAAATGTTATGGCATTATGGTCTGATGTCATTAGACTTCTCTCCACTCTCCAGTCCTCCACATTGCCGAGAAGTGACGGACTGCAAGCAGTTACGTCTACTATGCTCGAGCAGATTCTCCCCCTTCTGTAAGTTTCGAAGGTAGGTATGTCACCGGTGTTGAGGATATGGAGATCCATTTCATTGAGGAAGGTGTTATATGCCGCGCCTCTTTCGTCTTCTGTGTTGCTTCTCCACCATTGACTCCAAGCATTTACGTCTCCAGCCACTATGACGTTGTTTGTGTGAAGTTTTGCACATGCTGCTTGGATTCGTCTAAGGTAGGGATTGATATCTTGCTCCCCTTCGAGGTAGACTGACACGACTCCTAATTTTAGATTTCCTGCGACCAGAACCACCGCCGCTTCTGTTTCAGTAACCAGCTGTGGATCATGAATGATCTCCACCTGATTCCCGAAGACAAGGACTGCGGCCTTCACTGGTTTTTGTCTATTCAGGCTGCATTGAATAACTCGCGTGCCAGGATGTTCTTAAATAACGCCATTGTTTCCCACATAGGGTTCCTGTACAATGGCGATCGACACTCCTTTATCCGTTGCAACCTGAAGTAGTTCCGCCGTTGCTACCCTGGAGCGTTGCAAGTTCACCTGAATGATTTTAATGTGTGTATCTGACCTACTAATGTTTGAGATGGTGTTGTTTTGGCTGCCCTTAGCAATATGTTATGCGAGATCGTGCTATGGCATCCCACTTCTGCTTTTCCCGGCAATCAAAGCTAAAAGCATTGTGTGCCAGGTCCGTGTCGCCACCGTGCGCTTTTAGGCAATTTTTACATCTTGGGGGTCTCCCCTCCAGTCTGGTTGGGCATTTGTCCCATGAGTGAGTCTCCGCAGTGACTGCAGAGTTCCTCCTTTTCATGGCACACTGCCTTTGTGTGGCCAAAACCAAGACATTTAGTGCATTGCACTAGGGGAGAGTGGTCCATTATTGGTCTTCTTTGGAGGCCAATGTAAATTTTGCTCGCATCAATGAAGCGCCTGTGCACTTGTGGAGAGAGCTCGAGTTTCCTGTATCGAACTCTGATCGTTCGTTCTTTTTCATCGACGTCATGCAGAAGGTGTTTATTCTGCGCCAGTATATTTTCGACAATTTCGACGTCGCTGTGATACGATAGCACGTCTCTGATCATCGCCAGGGGATTGTTTGTCCTGGCAACCTCTACTATTAAATTTTTGTTTGTCTTAACCCTGTTTTGGACAAGGTTAAGATTCCTCCTTAGTGTTACAACTGAGGACGACTTTTTGGTTTTTCGCCTTCCTTACCCTATCCACTTTGGCTCTAGTCTTTTTAGTATCTAGGGTCTCCCTGATTCTCTCAATGATGTTGTCAGCTGTATTCTTCGAATCAGTTGATGTGATTATGAGAGTGTGATTGGGTTTAGGAAGGGGCAGGCCTGCAGCCACTCTGGCGTAAATCCTTTTTGGTTTTGCTGCTGCTTCACCAGCTTGTGTAAGCTCCGTTGCTAGACTCGGGGCTGTAGGTGATGAAGCCCGTTTCTGTTCCCTGATCGTCCTCAGCTCAGATGACATACCGCCTAAATGTTCTTCAATGGGTTGAAGCTGTTCTCTGATGCTGGTTTGGAATGTTTTGCCAGAGCCCGCCGAAGATAAGACTGAGAGTCCAGATCTGATGTTTTCATCTTGCTCCTTCAGCGACCTCTTCATTCCGTCCAGCTCCTGCTCCAACTTTTTGTTTATTTCCTGTGAGGGGCAGGATGGCGGTGATTTAAGGCGTAATAAGGTTTTCTGGCCAGTCTCAAGAACCTGCTTGGTATTATTATCGGATTTTTCGATAATTCGGCGCATGTCATCCAATTGCATACTGAGTGTTTCCACGCTGGATTTTACTCCAGTGAGTTCCACTCTTAGGTGAGGTAAGATGTTCTCCGCACCTCCCTGCTTCTGCTGAGTCAGGTTATTTTGGATTACCTCTATGCGCCTATCTAAATCCGTTACAGCCCTAAGTATTTCCGATATTCTACGAAATGGCTCTTGGGTTTCAAAGTCCAGCCAGCCCCTTATCGCCTTCGATTCTTGGAGAGTATTCTTTATATCAGTCCTGGCTTGGCCTATCTCGGATGCCATTCCTTTCACAAGTTGTGTCATAAGCTTATTATGTGCCCGCTCCACTCGCATTAGCTCATGAGCGTTGCGTGAGCGTTCCTTTTCTAAATTGTGCTTATGTCTAGATCGCGAATCGGGACAATGCCAGGACCATCTCGTAGAGGGACTGCAGACTTTCTAAAGCTGTTTGTTTGCATTCCCTCTTCATATTCCCTGCCATTTCTAATGCCTCCTTCCCTCTCAGAAGCATTTCGTTCGCTTCTTTTGTCGCCATATCCATTTCCAACCCCAGTCGCCTGTTGGAGTTAATGAGCAGGCTGGGTCTACTTTTTTCCGGTGCTTCCGATAATGGTGATTCCGGCACAGATATGATCGAGAGTTCTTTGTCCGATAGGATTGGAAGTGGGGGAATTTCTTCTTGCTGCCAGTTAGCTACTTTATCAAAAGCCACCTCCGCCGGGTCACAAATGGAGGACCGGATCGAGCTGTCACTTTTTACATAATTTTGCGAAATTTTTGTTCGTAGGGTGGCGGTGTGCGAAGAAGCCTTTTTTCTAGTGGTGTGCGTGTCTGTCGGGGCTGAGTCCACAGAACGTTTTTCTGCTGCAGGCTGAGATGATGGCCGCGGCAACTTTTCGCTGTTAGTTGTTTTTGCTAAGTTTGTTTTAGTTAATACTTTTTCCCGCAGCGACCGTGGAGCTCTGGGCGGCACAACAGGGTGGCTTTGAGAAGGCTTGTTAGAGGCAGCGATTTCCACACCCGACAAGACAACTTTGTTTTCGGACATTTTTTTTTATTCTATTTTAAATATACAAGTATGTTATACAAATGTGTGCTTAATATCTAGATAAAGGTTGCCTTAATAGATAGAAAAAATCAGGTAATTCTTTATATATAGTTATATTATACTAATAGTTTTTTTTTATTCTTGTGAACTCACTGCTGTTCCTAGGTTGTTGAACTGCAGTGTGGAGTACGTTGGACTTGAAGAAAGAGCCCGTGCAGGATCTCCGGTGTAGTGTACTGTGAGCCCTAGAGTATGCTTGAGGTGTTTTTGTCCGTGATGGTATTGAACTATGGGGTAATTTTGAAAATCTGAAGGGGAGGGGGGGGGTCTTTCGTGGGAAGCGTATATATGGTATTTAGAATAAGGGGGGGGTAGGAGGCTAAAGTTTTTGGGTGGGGTAAGTGGTCGGAATAATATTATACTGCTGAAATGTGTGAAGGGGAGGGGGGAAGGTACGAGTATGGGCAATGGGGGGGGGGACTTGGTATGAGTGGGGTGAATGTGTGGTATGTGGCGGGGTCTTCAGATCCCGACTCAAAAGAGCCCAAACTCGGGTGGTCAGGAATAAGGGGTCTAGGAGATCCCTCGTGGCTTACCTGATGGACGTCAATAGTGTCTCCAGCTGCGGCAATTTATCCTCGGCGGATTCCTCGGTCCGTCTTCGAAGGCTCCACTGAAGTCTGCACTGTCGCCGGACGCCTCGTGTTCACTGGCACGCTATAACCTCGATGTCTGAGAGCACGTTGCAACCACGTAGTTTGAGGTTAAGTTGTTAATATTTACAAGCCAATAACTTCCGCAGCAGTAGACCGATTTTCTTGATTTTTACGCCGTTTAATTGAACTTGATAGCGGCTTTCAAACAATAAAACTGCCTATGCGATTTCCTTGTTGAAGTTGACACTATTTATCCCCAAAGTTCAGAAGCTCCTGCTCCCAAGCCAGGTGATGTACAGATTTCTCCCCGATTACACTAGTGAACTGCACACTCAAAAACTTTTTCACAGCACTTCCACTCGCGTAGCTCAAAAATTGCTATTTTTAAAGCAATTTTTTCGTGGAGCTTATGTTGAATGTGACACTTTACGGTGCGTACTGGGTTGGGTTAGGTAACAGGTTAG